GAGAGAGAGAGAGAGAGAGAGAGAGAGAGAGAGAGAGAGAGAGAGAAAAAGAACGTGTGGAGATAAAATATTTCTATCTCTGTAAGTAAATATTTGTATGTAAATTTATAAATCGGTTTAGATATTTTCATAATGTTGTTCGTTGATCTTTAGTAAGGTCTCAGATAGTACAAATTTTTTAAACACATTGGAGAGACATGTATTAAAAGTAAGACGTCTCTCTTTTATACTCTGTTAAACGTATCTTTCAGAAGTTGTGTTGTCTGGATCTTTCCACTCATAGATTTCTTTATTCCCTCGAAATTTATCTCGGTTTATATCTCCTTCATTTTTATAAAAATATTCATTCTATTTATTTTCTGGATAATTTATCATGTATGATTCTTTGCCTGCATGTACCCATACCATATTGATTGTTTCAATATTATGTCATCTGTTATTATTGCCTTTATTTCCATACGTTGTAAAATTGTCAGTTTTTATTCTCTCCATTGTTGAAATTCTTATTATGAATTGTATCACATCAATATCTATCGTTGCAATTTTTCTGTACTTTATTTCAGTGAGTCTTCATTTTTCAGATCTATTTTGTAATATACTCTTAGGCATTGCTTCATATATTTTGAACACATATTTTCTAATATTTGTACTCTTTGCATGCAGTTATTTCCTTCTTTTTATAAAATGTTAGGTTTTTACATTTGCAATATTTACTGTTAGTTTCTATTTCTCCATTTCCTTATTGTATATTCCATTTCATTCTTATTCATTACCTGTAATGTTCTCATCGTATGTAAGTTTAAATGGATACAGTTATAATTAGATTTCTGTTTTATGAGACATTTCTTTATCTACATGTTTGTAAAGCTTTGACATAGTAATATAAATTTAAATTGATGGCTTTGTACATTTGAAATTGTTAGGAATACACAATATTCTCCGCGTTATCTCTTCATCACAAGAAAATTACATGATATTAATAATTGTTAACTTTTTATTTCCTCTTACAGTTTTATTAATTATTATTTACCTTTTTCTTTGTTTATGTTATCTATTAAACATTTTATTAAGTACATCAATAACAAGAAGTATACTTTGCAGTTAAGTTACATCAAGATGGTTTGGAAGTGCTGCGTACTGAGTGCAAAGGGTGTATATCAGTTGGACACGGGGCAATTGGACACAGTCCAATCACAAGTCGCTGTTCCAAGGGACCCTACAAATGTCTCTAATCACACGGTGCTGTGATTGGCTGTGTCCAAATGCACCGTGTCCAAATGCACCGCTCCTGAGTGCAAGTCTTTATGGGAAATGCCAGTCCATCGTTTTTCTGTGGATCCTGCCAGGATAGAAGGTTGGCTGATAGCAATATACAAAACTGATTTGATTGGTAAATGCAAAACATGTAGGTGCACCTTAGGTGCTTTTTCATGTGTAAACAAAAAAAATAATTGTAGCATTATATCAATTGACAAGTGCAGTTAATTCTCTTCTTCCTTTATAATTATGGAAGTTTTCCTACAATAATACTAAATATAAATTGTTATATTACAGGTGCACCTAAGGAAACATTGGTGAAATTAAAAATTTGTACGGAACATTTTTCTGAAGATATGGTACTGCCTTATGGGCGTAGCCGAAGCTTAACCGATAATGCAGTACCAAATTTAAATTTGCCTTTAGAAATTGTTGAGTTGTTTAGAAAATGATAATATAGTTGTAAACGAAAATTTTGATGAGCATATGAATTTAGTGGAAAATGTTTCGGACAATTCTGATTTTGTGCCACTGATGATAGCTTCATATTGTTTTCACTAGAACAGTGTTTGAAAGACGTCGTCTCAAATGTTGAAATAGATGATGTCATTCGCAAGGACACTTGTATTGATGAACCGCTTGAATTATTTTCGGATTATGTCATTAACGAAGATGTATTGGTTACCTCATTATCAGAACATTCAACGAAAATTATAGATTTTATTTTAAAACAAGTTCATTATTGTTCTGAATGCAATGAATCTTTTAAAAATAGTGAATTTCTTGTTTGCGCGCAACAAGTAGTAAGTAGAATTAATAAATTATTAAAAAATAGAAGTCACAGACGAAATCTTTTACATATAATTTTACAACATTTTGAAGAATTTAATGTTAATATTAGTTGGCATGAATGCACCGAGCATCATGCTAACATATTTCAAATAATGGTGCGTGAAATTGCTGTTCGAACAATACAGTAGTGGTGTGAACGTAAAAATAACATTAATAACGATTATAACGTTAATTTAGTGCAATGCGAAGCGAGAGAAAATATTGTACAAATAAAACGTATGCGTACGTCATGGTCGTGGTTATCGTGCGTGGTCAGATAAGATCTTGCCTTAGATGGCTGCGCAATGAGAAATGACTTATCGATCGACGTCGAAATCGTCAAATAGACGTCGATTCGACGTCTTTTCGACGTCGATCGATAAGTTATTTTTCTCACTGGGTAGGTCAGATACGATCTTGCCTTAGTGAAGGTTGAATCGAAAAAAATTAAAGATCGCGCGTAGATGAAAGACGCAAAAACCGTTGATAATGTCCGTATCGCGATAATAGCCCAGAGGATAAAAGCAATTCTGTCCTTGCCGTACAGTCGTCTTGCGACAGCCATCCGGATTAGTCCACGGAATTGGATACAGTCCTTTGAGCCAGTTAGATGAGATTAATTTTATGCCGAAATCCTTTGATTTCCTCCTCCATTACCAGCGGCAGTTCGGAAACGTTCGTTTTCATTTCAACATCGTCGCCGGCTTGAAAAGCGTCCGGATCGCGATTGATCGATGCTCTCTCGTAGTTACGTTTGCGTAATCGTTCGGTCATTTTGAACCGCACGTCTCTTAACTTATGGTAGTGTGGCCACCATCGCTGTTGGTCGATGCGTGACCGGCACCGACGTCGCTGCCAGTAGTTGTGGTATTGGTGTACTGCTGTGTGCCTCCGCTACCGCTGGATTTCAATTTGTTGCCTGTAACAATTCGTGCACCAGTACGCGTACGCTGCGGTAGTACCGCCGCCAGTACCACTACCGCCACCACCATCACCTACATCGCCGCCGGTTCCGCCACCGCCGCCGCTGTTCGGTGGTGACTGTTGTGGATTATCGCTACTAGATCCACAAGAATTACCACTCGATCCGCTGCTATTCCCACTGCCATTGGTCCAATTTCCATTGCGATTTGACATAAAGAACGCTATCAAGATCACGATAACGACGATAATCACTATAAAAATAGCGAGGTTCTTCCACTCCTAGTTAGTCATCGTGCAGATTTGATAGTTAGTTGTCGTCGTTCTGGTTACACTCCTCTTAACTTGTTCACCGCGAGTCGTTGTCGATTACCTTTACCCTGATAATCACCACATACGCTCTCTCGCTCTTACAGTTGCAACGGACGAATTACGACGAGATGAGCAATCATCCGGAACATAGACTTGCTGTGCACAAACATCAGCACTTGCACAACGACGACCACTACGACGAAAAAGCCAGTAGACAATATAGCTCCCGTAAAATAGCGAATAATGGCGGTCATGGAGGAGCTACCGCCGCAGATGACAACGATGCGAAAAACCAGCGTTATCGTCAAGATTATCGCAGTCACAACGACCGGAAGGAGAAGAGTGTCGATAACTCACAAGATCTCAGACCACAGCAGCAACTGTCGTTTAGAGTTCCAACAATTTCGAATCAAACTCATCGGATCGACACCGCCACCAGCAGAGGGCAGAAACGTGGTGCGACCTACGAGAATGAGCGGAGATTTGACTCAATTTTTCATCGCAGCGCCAACGAATTCGATGGAATGCACAGTTCTCAAAAGAATTCGAAAATTGAGGCACGCGATTATGCAAAGCAGATTGACTCGAGCCGCCCGACGGAAGACAAAGGAAGCAATCGCTTGCATTTTTCGACGGAGTACACGCGAACGAACACAACGTTCTTTGAAGGTGAGACTGCCACAGCTCAACAACCGCATCCGTCGTCGTCGTCGACTTTATTACCACCATCACATAGAATGGCAGTAGATGTCAATACCAGCGACACCGTCATTGGCGATGGTGGTAACCACAGCAGCAGCAACAATGGCGACGCAAGTACCACTGCTCAGAGCAATAAAGAGCATATCGCTAGTTTGAAAAACATGTTTATCAACATGAACGCCAATGGGATCGAAAATGTGGCGAATAAAATTGCATCTAACCAATTGCACGCTATACCAATGCAATCCGTACATTTGTACGGATCCGACAAACTATACGTCAATTATTGCTGGTCGTTGATTAGTCGTTTAGACGTGAAGCTGTGCTTCAAATATTTCAAACTCAAAAACTCCGAAGATATGAAGTATTTAGACGAACTGGTGTCGCAGATAATGGCATCTCTGTCAAATCTACACAACTTTTTGAAACGCGTGAACATCGATAGGAAATTTAAGCTCAACGAAAACGTTGTGAAGAAATATGTCTTCGAAGACGGTGAATCGCAAAACGTGCAGTTCGATAAGGTGGCACCATCCGAAAACGAGTGGATCAAGCATATGATGATGTTGATTCGCGAATTTGATTATAATCTATGCATTTTGTGTAAGTTGATGGTGTCTGATGATAAAGTATTGGAAGATCTTGAAAATGATATTTTTTGTAGCATAAATAATATTCTGCACGATCAACACCTGGACTATTTGGAATCCAAAGTGTTTCAAAACATCTCGGAACTTCAGCATGGCAACGACCGCGGTATAGCAGCAGCAGAGACCGCGGCTAATACAGTAAAATTACGCGGTCTGTTCTTCGTGTCGCTGCGGAAGGACATATCGATGAAGTGGATCGATATGAATTATCAGTTGAGAGAAGTCTTGAAAAAGTATATGCATAAAGAGTTCGATGCAAAAATGACACAAGTATGTGCACAAATGGCCAAGAAAACGACGGAGATTCACGTGAATATTTCGATGTCCAAGAATGCCAAACATTTTTGCATCTTGTCAAAACGTACACCCACGAATCGTTTTATGTCGACGTTCACGGGCAACAACGACGACGGCGATGGTCTCTTGGCTCTGGTGCAGTTAGATTCTATGAATTTGGATTACACCAAAAATACTATTACTTTCAAGGCATTGGTGTTAAATACCATATCCGCAAACGATTTCAAATATAAACAATGAGTCGCGTCCGGCGAATGTCAATAAAAAGACACATGTAATCAATATATTTTTATTATTCCACCACAACCTTTACAAATAATCATCAACGTAGCAGCTTCGTCATTTGTTCGTAATTGACGTCGCTCTTGCACAGTCTCGCAACCAACATGATTGCACGCTTTTTGTCTTATTACACGCATAAATCTCAGGTAATTGTCGAACAGTTGACGCTCAGCCAATACATCTTGATCTTCCAATTCAGGTGTATGCAAGACGTGATTGCTCAATGAGAAAAACGAATCCAGCACGTTTCGGAGCAGCACCAGTGGTAGAGGCAGTAGCGCTGCCGGAACCGGTAGCATCCATTCGTGCTGCAGCTAAAGTGTACCTATGGGCACGTGTTGATTGACGTCTCGCGAGGCGGTAAAGTAGACGGTCATGGTTCTTTTCAGCAGTAATGTTGTCATCTGCACTGTCGTACAGTAGCCCGAATGTTGGCGAAAAAGTCAGGTAGAATGCGATAGAGTACAGCGTATCGATCGGTCGTGAGTTCAACAACTCGAACAGGGCATCTCGCCAATTCGCGGCAACAACGTGTGGAAGCGTTTTAGACTGCGCGAAAATTGTACATTGATGCAACGACGACATTGCAACCTTGCCTACCGGTGGTCAGCAGAAACAATACTGTGATCGATCCAAGCGGAAAGGTGATCCTCATAAAATTTTGCACGCTTAGTATTCAAGCGAAATTGTCGCCACGTTTCAAACGCGTGTTGTCGAAATGGTACAAATGCCTCGTACATCGCAACCATATCGTCCGAAGCGTGATCGCGAAAATCTAGGGTATGTCTAGAGCCATCGCCGCTTTCGCTTTGTTCATCATCGTCGCTTACGAACTGATGAAGAAATTGATTCAAGCACCGGAGGACGCGACTACTATCGGTGCCGGTGCTTCCCTCCGACGGTGGCGGCGGCGGCTGCAACGGTGGTGGTGACGACGCTGAATAAAGTGTCGTAACTCTGTTCAACAATTCAACGAACAGCAACACAGATCGGTTTCGAGATATGGCTAGAGATAACTCGTCAGCGTCGTTCGTCGCTTCCTCGTCGTCGCGTAGTAGTCGCGTTGCTATCGGTGTTGATATTGCAGCGGCGAACGCCGAGTTTAATTATTGCAAGCACGTTGATATCAAATTTCTCCCTATCAATTTTTTTTTACTTGAAAGTATTTGAAGAATAACCGAAAATCGTTCAATTAAACGTTTATTAATTTTTGTTATTTAAGAGGTGATTTCTGGATCAGAAAAAAACCGCCTCGCAATATTGCTATCATTAGAAGTTCCAGGACCTTGTCTGGGAACATCTATTATCAAACTTAATTTTCGGAATTCATTTTGAATACGTTGCTTTTCTGCTATTTTTTGCTTCTTTTCTTCATCACTTTTTGCCATCCATTTTCGAAATGATAAGTTATACGCAATATACAGTACACATTCCATAATTCTTATCCATGCGTGTAGTGTTGACCAAAATCATAATTTTTATTATTAATAAATTTTTCTTTCACTCGTATCAAGTCATTCATTTCCGTAGGTTTCGCTTGACAGATGATGCAAGTCGCGGCAGAGGAAGTAAACGTAATCACTTGGACTACTTTTCCATCAACCATTGTCAAAAAGAAGTCATGTTTGATTGTAAAATTTTGATCAGCAATAGTCTTATAGATAGCGACATACTGCCGGTACCGATAGATTTTATCGAACGAGCGACGCACCGCGACCGCGACAAGTGTTTTCCGCGGCTCAAATTTTTCCGCGATGGTGACGTAACCATGCACGATGCGTTCGCCATTTCGATCTTGACGCCGTCCTGAAAACATTAACTTCGTCACCACCGAGAGCACCGGAGTCCGGAAGATGGCGCGTTAGTCGCGCGGCCATGTCGGTAACAAATTACCAGCTAAGTAACTCAGCCGGGACATTAAGGGGATTCTGAAGATGAAAACTTTATCGACAGAACACTAACATTTTTCTACAAAGTTTACGTCGTATTAGTTACACAGAATTACAAATGTTTTTACGCAATGAAAGTACGTGCAAAAATAAATAGGAGCATTGCTCGATATGTGACGAAAACAAAGAAAAAATTTTTAATTTAAAATCTCAAGCTGTCAGTAGCGTAATATTTGCCTAATCCAAAAGTTTCACAGCTTGTATATATTGAAAGTGTGGATTCCTTAAACAGAAAAATTTTGAAGAACATTGCTCTACCTTCGCATCTGCATTTGGAAGCTTAAAAGTATCGAAAAGTTTGCAGAAAGATTCTCACACATATACGGTTAGGTTTTCTGTTGAATATGATAAAACAAAGCACATTCATGTAAGTTCTACATATACAAGAAATACGAAAAGAATAGCGTGATTATGTTAGTGACGATCGTCTCTGCATTATCGACATGTTCGTTCGTTATCGACTTCAGCATCCCCTTAACCATTCGCGGGTTGGCGTCTTCGTTAAACGACAGAGTGCGCCACTACGTTATCGACACCGTAGCGCGGCCATTTTGTCGAGCGCGCTTCCAGAGTATGGACGCGTCGTGTGCGACATTAGAAATCCAACGATTAATTTGCAGTGTTTGAAGTATACTGCCTGTTTGATCCGCTTACATCGCAGGTATGTGTTTCGCGCACAATAGCGCATTCATACTTGTGACGCCTGACGATCGGCACCTCTCAATTATCAAGTGTCACGGATATAACGGTTGCCGTTTATCTCGTGTCGCGCGGACATGAATGGAAAATACGGTCGCGATGTTTCGGAATGATACGTCACTTGCATAATGCGCCGGCACTCGCGGGAGAGTAACGTTCATTTTATTCGCAACACGTCCCACGTTAATTTGAACACGAGTGAAAGAAGCGAGCGCGCTTCTCTCGCTTTAATCTAGGAACCCCGCGATTCTTACGGGCTACGAGTTTAACAATACGAATCGCCGAGTTTAATTATTGCAAGCACGTTTGGCGTTACCGACGGTGTATTCCGCGCACGCACACACACATACGCGGTTTCATCTAAAAATTCACGTTTCGTTCGTCAATTTAAACGATCGTGAAACGTTGAGACTAGTAAAACCAGAGTCTCTACGTTGTTCTCGTCGTTTAAGTTAACGACGTCAGTTGAATTCAATATCAAAAACCACGAGTAACGTGATTTCTTATTATTAAAATCAGATTTGTCTCATTTGGGTGCGCAGATACTCGGCTAAAATAAGATAAGGGGAGAGAGAGAGAGAGAGAGAGAGAGAGAGAGAGAGATTTAATTTTAAGCAAATTTATTTTCTCCTGTTACGTCGCATGATTTTATGAAAACATTTTTTTTACAGATACAAATAAATCGACAATTCTCGGCTTGACGGCCATTGATGTTGAAAATTGAACATCAAATAATATAGCGAAGCATATAATGCATGTTCGCACGCGGTACAGAGAGAATCGATGGAAATTCTCGTTCAACGGTGAAAATTTATTCGATCGCGAGGGCAGTGACATGTGAGTTATATATAATGTACGAGAGAAAGCACGTATCTCGTGGTAAATCAAATTTCTCCAGGGATCCATGCGCGTATGTCTCCGTTGTATACAAAAATAGAGCGTCAATCGATACTTATACGGATATTCACGAGATATCGCTGCTTCGTTTCGAGTCGAGAAACAAATCGATATCAAATAAAAATGAAATCTCCTGTATAAATTACGAAGAAAAGTATCTTTCGCGTATACATTTTACGAGGTAGAATGCCCACAAACTCAAGCCGATGAGTTCAAACGCGAGATCTTATCCACGCGGGGCAAATAAAATTAAGAATCGATAGTTCGGCGGTCCGACTCGTCATCGATCGCTACTACTAGAAGCTACGCGTAGAATACACTTGCGAGTGTCCATCTAAACGCGATATGGTCGAATTACGTACGAAATAATTCCACCTGCCTAAAGTGTAGGTAACTTTTCGGCAATAAGATTTAGAGAGTTGATCTTTATTATTAAAGTTTTAATTATATACCCAGCTTCAGTAAACCAACGTAAATGCAGTTTAACCTTGCGGGTCGCGTTAATCTCCTTTTAAGGGAATATTCTGATTTAAAAAATCGTAAAAAAAGCATTTTTCCAGAATTTTTCATAAGAAAACAAGAAAATTGAATAATGTCGAACTTTGTAAATATGTTTTTAACATTTTTTTAAAAATATATTTTTATTGTCTAAATGACAAAAACGCCCTTTTTGTGTGTTATATCCTCACAAGGAGTTTGCAGAGAAAAACGCATACAAACAGAATAAATGTGTTATAGATATTTGAAACGTAGGAATCAAAAGTTTTCTTATTCAGAAGAAGTTTAGCTATCGTCTGAATTATAGTAAACATTATACATTTACTAGTTTTTTTTTTTCAATAAAACACTAACAATATTTTGAGGAGAAACAAATTTTTTTTTATAAAAAGATCACCATTTGGCCCAGTATGGTAATATTGATACAATTCATATATGGTAATATTGATACAAAAGATAATGATCACTTTTCTCTTGAATAAGAAAAATTGTTGTGTTTCAGATATCTAAGCAAGCAGAATCACTTACACCGTTTGTGAACATTTTTTTTCGCAAACTCCTGGTAACCAGGATGTGACATACAAAAAAAGAGCATTTCCGTTTCACTCAGATAATAAAAATATATTTTTGAAACAAGGTTTAAAAAATATGCAAAGTTTGACGTTATTCGGTTTCTTTGTTTTCCTCCAAGAGTCTCCAGAAAAATACCTTGTTTTGCGACCTCTGAAGTCAGAATATTCCTTTAAGCTGCCGGGCGTTTCTAAGGGACTGCTCGTCGGAACGTTCTCCAGCCATCGGGGACGATCTCGCGCCGACGAAAAATCGGAGAGCGCAGCGACTTCGATGCCGATACATCGAGCAATCGCGTGCACTTACTGCGCACGAAACACCCTCGCGCGAACGAAGACGAGGAGATCATCCTGCTTCCCACCCTCTCTCTCGCTCTCTCCTTTCCGT